TGGCAGCAGCAGGCAAAAGCCCCCGGAGCCCCGCGCAGGTTTGCCTGGCCTCTCCCGCAATCTGATTGGATCAAGTCGGGCTCTACGTGGCGAGGGGGTCTTGGAAACCATGGGTTATTGCAGCGGCAGGTGCACGCTGATCTTTGTCTGTGGCATGCAACTGGTAAGTGACACGCGCTGTGTGCGGGTCCTCGGCGAGAGTGGCAAAGCCGTGCAGGGCAGAGGCTGACACATGGGCTGCAAGGGGGAGGTGGAAGGTTAAAAAAAAAGACTTTTTAATGGATCACTGACACACGGTATCATTCATCACAGGGAGCTTCTGCCCCAGCTGCCTTGAAGATCTTTGTCTGTGGCATGCAACTGGTAAGTGACACGCGCTGTGTGCGGGTCCTCGGCGAGAGTGGCAAAGCCGTGCAGGGCAGAGGCTGACACATGGGCTGCAAGGGGGAGGTGGAAGGTTAAAAAAAAAGACTTTTTAATGGATCACTGACACACGGTATCATTCATCACAGGGAGCTTCTGCCCCAGCTGCCTTGAAGTATCTCCCGCCTCCCCAGAACTTGGGAGACTCCTTCAAATGGGAGAGATCTGGTACTTTGGATATGTATTAGAAAAAATATCGTTACGGGTTTTGCTTAGGGAACTATTGAGTTGTGTACATAAAGTAAAGTTAATTTAGAGGGGAAATAAACCCCTGAGGACAGTTTTGACAGGAATTGACTAAACTTGGTGTCAGATTTAGCGAACATATTTAGTTAGCACTCAGTTTAAAGATTGTTATATTGATAATCCTGAACAGCTTGCCACACAGGTGTAAGTGAATTTACCTCAGATTTTTTTTCTGCAGCTATGTTTCTTCTTGCAGTATTAGTGGCCAATGTTTAACTGCATTACATTATTAAAGAAGTGAAAAAATATGTGGGAATTCATGGCAGATACTGTATTTACAGCCATCAGACATACAAACCATAGTGAGTTTAACGAGTATGCAGTAGAGGTCCAATAACTTAGAAAAGATTTAAAGATAGATCTACTTATGAGAAGTACAAAATAGATAAACATACTGACTGCACAGGATGGTGGAGTTTGTAGAATTCAGATTAAATGTGATACTAGTACAGTACACATTGTTAAGGACTCAGCCACACACAAAAATGTCCTGTCTTTGGATTTCAGTTGCCCAAGAGTGGAACATGTAGTACAGGGTTTCTTTAAGCAGTCAACCTTGATCAGGAAGGAGATCATTCACACTACCCATTCCCCTCTATCTCTTGTTGCTGGAAAAGCCTGAGCTGGTATCAATGGCAACCAGCATTGCCAACAATTCTTCCAATGTAGGCAGGTACTAAGAAGACTAAAAAAGAGGAAGAAAACAGTAGATTTCAGGGACCTAAATCAGTACAGTACATAACAAGTAGATTTATCAGTAGAACTGAAGTACAAATGTCTGTGGTTTTTATATATGTTGTGATCAATCCTTCATTCTTCTGTATTATGGGAAGCCTTCTATTTGTACAAATGGTCTTCTCCTCAAAAGTTATCTGATCCTTTGCATATGGTGTATCCTGGTAGACTTGATTTGTTCATATGCAATCTAAAAAGAAAAGCGTGAATAGAAGTCTGTAGTACAAGGAATTGTAGGAATGTAACCTTTTCCGAGCATTTTGGAAACACAAAGTACATCATTGAAGTTTTCCAGATTTATTAAAGTTTCAGACCCATGCTTTTCATTTTCTTTGACAAAGACAACAAAAAGTTTAATGTTCTTTATATGGACAAAAGATTCCTTTGAACAAATATTAGCTTGAGTGAATTAATTTATGAATGTGAAAAGATGTAAAATACATTCTTCTTTATAGGGTCTTTGTATTTGCTAACTCATTTTGTGTATGTATAAAAACAAAAACAACCTCCAGGGATGTATGAATTTGTGATCAGGTAAAATAATGGAGGATCTTGTTTCACATTATATTACTTTTGTATTTTAACTTGGTAGGATGTTATAGAATAAGTAAAACATAACCTGAGTACTTTATTCCATCCCTGTTTTTAAAAAAAGTTGAGAAACAATATATTTTAAATAGCTTGCAAGGCACTACTATTGCCCCCTTTGACCTGAGCAGTTACCCAAAAAATGGGGATTTAGTTAGGTTGTTCCAGTTCGGAGGAGAAAGCAGTAATAGGTTCCTCTCTGATTCAATTTTATCTATTTAAAAAAAATGTATAAAGTCCTTTGTCAATGAATGCAGAGAGAATCAAATAGCAGGAAACAGATTATTTTGCTCACAGCACCAAGAGTACTTTTAACCAGCACCCCAAAAAACATCTCCCAATATCCTCCAGGGTCAGCCTCTATCAGCTGTTTCTTCAGGCTCTCTCTCTGTGTGTATGCCACATTTTTCTTTTTATTCAGCCTTCTCTCCACCCCCAATCCTATTGAAAATGATATTCAGCAAAAGCTCAAGGATTGGTTCACATATTCCTTGTTTTAAGTGGGGGCTTATATTTACAGTTATACTAATTAAATGTGTATACAGACCTATCAATCTCCATGAGGGTTTTAACTTAATCTATAACAAGTTTTCAGCTGGCTCATGATAGTATGAAGTGTCCTGAGAAACCTGAAAGCTTTAATTTCTTTACAGCGCAATAGGGGGCACCTTACTAATAAAACAGCTGAATCATAGTGCATCTGTGTAATGACATTTCAGTAGGTTTTTATGGAAGAGTGCTCATTTACATGAAAAATATAGTTGGCCATAGAAAAATACTCTTTTCTCACTTCTTAATAATCGCGTTCCTCCCATTTCTGTGCCATCACATTGACATAGGTCATGAGCCTTCAAACCCTTTCTCATATGAATACTTCTACTGTTTGATTGGTGTGACTTTGTAAGGACTCCTTATGTTTAAGTCCTGCTCCACAGTAGAAAATTAAGTTGGCTTAACTATATTTCCTAGCTTCAGAGGGGTAGCCGAGTTAGTCTATAACTGGAAAACTTAAAAAACAATTAATAGAAAACATCTGAAGAAGTGGGTTGTACCCCCAAAAGCTCATGATACCTCTACATGTTTTCTTAGTCTTTAAGGTGCTTCTAAATTATTCATTGTTTTTATATTTCCTATGGGTTTGAAAAATCAACATCCCTGATCACTATAGTTCAGCCAACTTAAAAATTGTATTGACAGTGCTAAGTCAAGGTAGATTTCTTCTGTTGATGTATCTACTGCTTCTCAGGACATGGATTACCTACATCAATCAGATGACTGAACCAAAGAGCATCAGTGGTGTAGCTGTAGGGGAGTAGCTTGCCACTTTAGCATTTTTCGGATAGATAATTCCCTAACTGCCATTGCTCAGGGAGATGGTGTTCTTACAAAGATAGAAGAACTCCTTCCATTGCTGCAAGCTGTGCTGGCATAGCTCTGGCACCATAGCTATAACATAGTAATCTGTATAGAGTAGAATGGCCTACATTTTTTAGGATTCAGGCCATAATTAGCAGCCATATTAATGCAGATCATGATTTTTTACAAATGATGAAGAGTCAACTGGCATGATATAGTGAAAGAGCATTAGTTGACTGTTAGTCATTTTTTTTATCCACATCATTTTCAATAGAGAAAAAAATTAATTGAAAAAACAGTGGTTTAATTTTTAAAACAATTATAAAACATAGAAAAATGTTCTTTTAAGGGAAAAGTTTCAAATTTTAAGAAGGAAAAGTGTTTTGCAACTTGGTTTATATTAAAATTTTTGCATAATTTGCTTAGTATAGATGTTGTGATTTAACTAGTCTTAGCAGGATTACCAAAATATGTAATACAATTCAATAATGTGGGTCGCTAGAAAAGTTTCTGCAGGCTCATGTGTACCATGTTTGGCTAATCTCTGAAATGTACCATATAGGCTACATTTGCAAAGAGCGCATCAGGAATGCAGATAGATGCAGTTGAGAGCTCCGGTTTAAACACAGGATTATTTTTATAAATGCAGTTTAAACACCTATTGCTTGTGCAGTGTATACTATATCATCCGTTAGCAAAAGGATCCAAGAATAGTTTGCTTCCAACTGCACACAGATCAGTTCTTCCTTGCTTAACATACATTTTCCTTCCTATTTGTGCTCTCACTTACACTATGCAAAGCAGCTTTTGATAGTTCATTTTCTTCTATATTTGTTAACCCATAAGAAAAATTAATG